CTGGTAACGCGTAGGTATTCGGTCGGGGTTGCATGCGTTCACTTTCCCCTGCACGCGTCCACCCCATGTTCTGTGGGAAACGAGAGTGCCCTCGTCGCCCGCGGGCGGCTTGCCCTGCGACATCGATGTCCCCGTTATTTCCCTCGTATTGTATAAGTGGGAAGATGCCGCGAAGTTTTGCCGCCTGTGGCCAAAGTCCCCCCGACGCCCCGATGTCCCGCGCGAGTCGCCGCCCCGCGCCGCAGTGCGCGCCCGGATCTGTTTCCCGCCATTGGCGTCCTGGCCAGCGGGCGGAAGTCTGCCGCGGAAACGGGCTCGCACCGCGCGCCGATGCATTTGGCCAGAACCGATGCTGCCGCGACATTCGATGCGCCATCTCGGCACTATTCTAGGACTTGCGGCGCGCGCCTGTTCAAGTCCCCCCCTGGTCACCATCATCGTCTTCTCCGATGGCCACGCCCGAGATCATCCAGTGCACTGCCGCACTGTGGGCGCCCATCTCGGCACGCTTCAATGTAGCCAGATTTGCGCACCCAGGTGGCGCACGGTTCCCCCCCTGACGATGGAAGGCGGCACGTCTGTGATTCGGGAAGACGGCCCATAATCTAGTAGCACGATGGTTGGTGGACGCGCGACAAAAAAAAACACCGCTGAGTTTAAAAACTATGCCGTGCAGACTGGGGGGGCGCATATTTTCTACGCTCAACAACAAGGCTTGTGCCCTTGATGGGCTTGTTCCCAGGTGGCTCCCTCAGACCTCCCACGCTGCTGAGTTTTGCCTGTTCGGGGCCGCCACTGAGCTCCTCTCGGGGCCTTCTGCCGGGCACCCTGGTTGCGAGGATGTGGTCGGGACTGACTTGTTCACGCGCCTGCTAAGGAGCGGCCGACGCACAAAAGAGCCGCGCGCAGACGCGCGTCTGAATCTTGCTGATACGTCGTCGTCGTCGTCGTCGTCGTCGTCGTCGTCGTCGCCATCTTCTTCCTCCTCCTCCTCCTCCTCCTCCTCCTCCTCCTCCCCCTCCTCCTCCTTCTTCTCCTCTTCCCCTCCTCCTCCTTCTCCTCCTCCTCCTCCTCCTCCTCCTCCTTCTCCTAATCCTCCTAATCCTCCTAATCCTCCTCCTCCTCCTCCTACTCTTCCTCCTTCTCCTACTCCTCCTCCTCCTCCTCCTTCTCCTCCTCCTCCTCCTCCTGCCCCTTTCCGTCCTTTGCCTCCTCCTCCTCCTCCTCCTCCTCCTCCTCCTCCTCTTCCTCCTCCTCCTCCCCTCCTCGTGCTGGGGGGAAAAGGTCAAGGCCCACGATTCGACGGGCGGCCTCGGCGAGGCTGGACTTTGCAGGCGCATATCAAGGAGGCGACGGGGCTGGTCCGGCTGCGACGCTCTGTGCCTGACCGTCGCCCCCGACCTCGGCGGCAGTTGGGTCCGCTCACCCCCAGCGGGGCTTCAGTCGCCAGAGTTAAGTCGGGCGCGTCCTTCTACAGGAGGACTGTTCAAGAACAGTCCAACAATAGTCTGGGGATCATGTCTACGGCTGTGTTTGAATATGTCTTGCTATGTTTGGGGGCATGTTTGATGTTCAGCCCAAAATCCGCCTGTAGGGGGACATGCCCGACCCAACGCCAGAGCTGTCGCGAAGCTTGCCGCGCCTGCGCTGCCCCGGCGGCCGCGCCTCCACCTCGACAGGGGTCGAGCGAGCGCGTGTGGCGGTGGGAGGCGGCCGAAGGCTGCCCAGCCTCGACGTGCACGGATTGGGCGCCACAATTTGCTGGGCGCTGCCGCCATCACATTTTATCGTCTCCAATCGTATCGGGAGCTCCCGTGGCAGAAGAGCACCCAGAACGAGGTCCTCCGTGACAGAGGGGGGGCATCTTAGGGCCCCTCTGTGACAGAGGGGGGGCCAAAAAACAAATGATCACTTTAATGCGGCTTCTGGATTAGGGGGGTGGGGAAAAGTTCCGCCAGGGGATGCCCTTGGCAAGCAAGCGCGCGCGCTTTGCACGTATGCACCTGCACGGGCACCACCGTTGTGCACGCGCGTTCGTGCTGTTTCGCGTGCACTTCTGGAGGGCGGACGCGGCACATCAAGGATGATTGTTGCGGGAACTTTGCCTCGAGATTCGTTTTTCGGGTTTGGAAACAGACGTGCCCAGAAGCGCATCCTAAGCTTGATTCTGTCCGAGTCGAGCTGGTCTCGCAGATGGCAACGTAATTGGGGTAAAGATTTCACAGCGCCCCTCCTCGTCCACACTGCCTGGCGCTGGGGGGTTCAGCTTTTCTGTTGCAGAGGTCTCTGGCTAACCCCACTTGCGGGTCAGGGCATATGTCACCTTTTGGTTGCTGGGGTCACCTGTCAAATAGGATCACATCAGCGCGAAAACGACTTGCTCATGTCTGCTGCTGCAGGAATCACGCTGGTGAGGAAACCGCCACTCATCATCGCTAACATCTGCAAGCGTTTCTAGACGACTGGGCGCAGCCTCACGGCGACGGCTCAATTTTGAGGAGGTGCCTCTGGCCATCGTTGGGGCTGCTGCCAGGTTTTATGACGCACGTGCGGGGCGCTGAGGCGAAAACCCAATCTTGGCACGCACACACACACACACACATTCCCTCCTCCCTCCTCCTTCTCCTCCTCCACCTCCTCCTCCTCTTCCTCCTCTTCCTCCTCCTACCCCTCCTCCTACACCTATTCCTCCCCCACGCGCGCGCGCCCCTTCAAGATCACGGTGGGGCAGTATCAAGATTGTGTCCATTTGCGCTGCCATGCGAGTTCGCCACTGCGTTCGGGCCGCCGCCTAGGGGGGCGGCTGCCTAAGGGTCGTGAGGGGGGTGGGTCCACGGGGGAGCGGTGCCGCAGGAGGTTCTGCCCGGAATGCTGCGGTCCGGGCCGCTAGATGTCTGGACAGCCAAGAAACTGCCAAATTTGGCAGAACGATCGAGCGTATAACTGGCTCGATGCGTCGGGGAACCTTTCTTGCTGCCAGTGCGCCGCAACAAAGAGCGGCCCGAAGAACCAGCAGGGCTCGACACGGACCGGCCCCCCGCACGCGCCGCGGCGGAGATGTTGCGTGCTCGTTGGGCAGCTTGCGTGCAAGGTTCCTTCGTGGTGTTTCTAAGGCCGGGTGTGAGCACGTGGTCTCCCGAATGGGCTCCCCCACGGTGTCCCGTACGACCGTGTGGGCCTCCCCAGAATTTCCGTATGGTCTCCCGTATGGCTTGTTGTATGGTTTCCCGCATGGTCTCTCGTATGGTTTTGCGTATGGTCCCCCGCGCAGTCTCCCGTCTGACCTCCCCATGTCGTGCCTCGTGTGTCCTTCTGCGCGTTCCCCTGCTTGGTCTCCCGCGCGTGCGCTGCAGTGTGCTGTGTGTTTGACGTTTTGGGTGTGCGGCCGGGTGTCTTCTGCCGCCGGGGGTGTCATGCCGCACGCGTCTGGATGTTCAGCAGGGGCGGAGGAGTATGATGTGGTGGTGGAGCAGACAGGTGCAGGCGCTGGTTGTACGATTGCTAATCGCCTATGTGGAATCCTACTTGCACGACTCCCGTGCGGATTGCATGCGTCTGGATGTTCAGCAGGGGCGGAGGAGTATATTGTGGTGGTGGAGCAGACAGGTGCAGGCGCTGGTGGTACGATTGCTCACCTCCTATGTGGAATCCTACTTGCGCGACTCCCGTGCGGACGCCGTCAAACTTTAGGCCACCGCAGCCGTGTTACGGTCAACCCTCATAGCAGGGATGAGCGGTTTTCCAAGGTTGTCCTTGCATCCTCCCCCTTCGGCCCGTCCTTGGCCGCTTTCGCAGGCCGCGCCCCTCCCTCAAAGTCTGGCATGGCCTCCTAAGATTCTCAGGGCCCTTGCATCCTCATCGTGCGCATCCCTATCACACGGTTGGTGGCACTCCACCGCGCGACCCGCCTGCGACCCGCCCGCGACCCGCGCGCGACCCGCGGGCAGCCCGCGCGCGACCCACTCGCAGCCCACCCCGCGACCCACCCCGCGACCCACCCGCGACTCGCCCACGCCCCACCCGCGACCCCCCGCTTCGGTGCACGAAGCCGACTAGGCTCGTGTCCGCGAGGGCGCGATGTCGAGAAGGCTCGTGCGGCGCAGTTCCAGCTCGTTTTCGGCACAGGTCGCCTCGGGCATCTGCTCGGCCTCCTGATGTTCGTCGCTCCCAGCGCCCCCGCGCCCGCCCCCCTCACTCTTAGTCCGCAGCCGAGGGGTGCTGCGGGTTGACTTCCGCGCCTCGCGCGCTGCCCCCGGTGCACGCGAGGCGTTCCCGAAAAACAGGGCCTCGCCTTCGAGGGCCGAAGGAGTGGCCATCTCTCTTCCGCGGCGGAAGCTCCGCGGAAGGCGGCGGAAGTAAGAGACGTGCCCGTAAGACTAAGTCGGGCACGTCCCTCTACAGGAAGAATATTCCAAATGAGTAAAAAAGAAACTAGTATGGGGACGATTTTCTGACATGTTTTGACTGTTCTTGAATCTTTTGACTATTTGTCTTTTTTCGCCCAAGATCCCCCTGTGAGGGGACATGCCCGACCTAACCCTAAGAGCCGAAAGCGTTTTGGGGGGTTCAAGGTTTCCGACATCGCCCGTGTGATGCGGAAACTTCGGGGTTCGGTCGCCCTCCTCGCGCTCAAGGCCGCCTTCTGCCTCCCCCCAAGCATTCCTTGTTTTCCGACCTCCTCCCCCCTGCCGCCTGCGTCCTTTTGTGCGCCCTTCTCCCTCTTGCCTCCCCCGCTCCCTCCTCCTCCTCCTCCTCCTGGGAGGGGGGAGGAGGAGGAGGAGCAGGAGCAGGAGCAGGAGCAGGAGCAGGAGCAGGAGCAGGAGCAGGAAGACGAGAAGGAGGAGGAGGAGGAGGAGGAGGAGGAGGAAGAGGAGGAGGAGGAGGAGGAGGAGGAGGAGGAGGAGGAAGACGAGAAGGAAGAAGACGAGAAGGAGGAGGAGGAGGAGGAGGAGGAGGCCAAGGAGGGGGATGGGGTGGAGGAGCCCCCCGCGAGAGGGGAGGCCGAGGGCGACGAGCGGGACGAGTTCGACATCGACGCGGAGGAGGAGGCCTCGCCGCCGCCGCGCGCTTTGGCCTTTTTGTCGCGCTCGTGGCGGGGTCTCGCGGGGACTCTCCTCCGCTGTTGTTAAACAGCATCGGGCTCGCGCGCGTCGCTTCTCGGGGGCGACGACGTGGGCGAATAGCCCAGGGGAGAACAATGCATGTATCCAGGGGTGCCGGTGGTCCCTGCCTTCGGCGAGGCTCCCGTGCAAAATGCCCGCCCCTGGGCTCTCCGCCCCCGAGCTGTCGCCGCCCCCGAGCTTCGGATTCGAGGGATGACCGCCTCTGGAAGCCAGCGGCCTCGTCTTTCTGGGACGGGGTCGCGGGCTTCCCTGTCTGAGATTTCGCTACCATCCGCTGGTATTGAGCTGCCCGTCTCCCCCTCCCTCCTCCTCCTTTTCCTCCTCCTCCTCCTCCGCCGCCTCCTCTTCTTCCTCCTCACTCCGCGCGCGGACGCCCGGCGCCGCCAAATGCGGCTCAAGCGTGAACGCAGACTAGACGATACTGAAAAGGAGAATGCGCGCCGCCCTGCTATCTCTCATGCTACCATTGCCGCCATGTCTCTTACTCTTCACCACTGCCACCCGCATTTCTAGTTGGTAGTGGAGCTGGGAGCGATCCCAGCTCGCGATCCACGGGACTGCGCATGGTGCGATGTGGACGCGCATTCGCACTCTCCCCGATCTCCTCATCGGTGCCATCCTCCATCGCCCGAGCAGTTTGTACTTGTGGCTGTTCTGCAAGCGGGCTAGCGATTTGCCCTGGACGCTCACAGGCTACGGTGAGGCAGACGCAGGACCGCGTGAGACGTGCGATAGCCCACCTGCGCAGGAGATCGGCGGCTGCAGGCTACAACGCGATGTGGAGCGATCCGCCCACGGGAACGCCACGACGTTCCCCGACGCATCGCACCCCACAGGCACTAGCCGCATCTGAGAGTCGGGCACGGCTGCGAGGCTCCTCCCCGGGTTGGTGCCGTGCCTCGTGGTGTGTGCGACGGTGCAAGTTTTCCCTGCGAGCCCGTCGCACCACTCGAGTGAAACACTGAACGTTAATGTGGTTATCGCACCACCCTTGGCACCTGTCAAGGGCACCAGTGCGAATGCGGCCGCCGCCTGCTTCAACATGGTGTTCGTCCCTGTGCAGGCCCGAGCCCCAAGGCGCTTCCGCAGCTCACATCGTGGTGGGCTCGTATCGAGGAGGACCTCCATCTTGGCGCTTGGGGGCAGCAATACACTCATCACCAACCCGATGTCGCCGATGTTTCTCATTGCCCCGACTGTGGACCGCAGCTGGCCAGACACGCATCCAGCGAGTGCTGCAGACACGCCCAGATGCACCCAGCACGTCGGCTACGCCACGACCGTTGCTCACTTGGGTGTTGCATCTCATCCGCCCTTTCGACTAGGTCGGCGACTCGGATCTGCCTGACTTCGTCCTGTTCTGGTTCTTCTTGGACGCGAACTTCGACGGGAACCTCATTACCGTCTACGCCAGCGCACTTCCAGGATGAGGCGTCCAGGCATGTCGTTTGCACCAATTGCTGTCGTGCCGCGTGGTGCCTGGAGGCCTTGTCGCACGCCCTTTCCCAAGGAAAAAGGAAGTGCCCCAGTCTACGTGCCACACCGTGCGCGACCCTGGCCGCGACCCGTTGTCAGCTTCACATCAGGCGCGCCGCCCGTTCACTGATTCAACAAAGTAGCAATGTGGAAACCGATTTGGCAGGCAATCATGGCAGATATGTGCCACTCATGCAAGGGTGAGTATGCCAGCGAGGCCTGTGGCCCCTCGCTCCCGCGCATGCGTTGCGCCGTAGCGCTCGGACGCACGATGCGCAGTGTGTAATTTCAGGCACGCTCGCGCGTTTGCTCTGCCTATGGCTGCGCGATTGCGCCTGCGCCTTACGCTGCGCTATCCTGTCCAGGAGCGCGGCCACGCGGTAATTTGTGCACCTTTTGCCGCGCCACTTTTGGACAAAGAAGTGTGCGCGTTTGCTTTTCAGTGTCAGCTGCCCTATCACTCAGGAATCACTGGTGGGGAGCACGCCTGCGCATTGCCAGCGCGCGGCGGCGCAGGCTTCGCGGCGCGCGCTACCTACGCGCGCCCATGTTTTCTCAGCGCGCCCAGGACATTGCCTATGCCCGGTGGTGCAGCTGCTCGCGCACAGCGTGCTATGCCTTGACATTCCTAGGCGTCGTGCTATGTGAGGTGGCCTGGCGGTGCTGGCACACGCGCCGCGTTATGCCCGCGCGCACCTGCGCGTTGTGCAGCGCGCGCTAGGATCAGTATGCTCAGCTGCGCGCGGGAGCGTGCACAAGTGCCGAGGCTTGCCACGCTCGTGCCCAAAAAACGCATTATGCTACGCATGCCGGGGCGCCGTCGTGCCCGGTTGCGCGCCCGTGCGCGCGCAGGCTGGCGCATCCAGCGCATCTACGCCTGTCCAAGCTCGTCCCCAACCATCTCTGAGAGCGCCTGCAGGCGCCGATGTCGGCCCCCCCCAACCACACTCAGGCTGCAATCGGCTATGTCACGCGGGGCGCAGCTCACCGAGAGACTCTGTTCGGGCGGTGTCAGCCAGCATGCGATTTCAGCCCGCGCGCTCGCCTGCCAGACTGCAAGCCCCTGCCTCTCTACCTCAATCCACCTACTCAGCCACATCGCCGCTTCAGTGAATAGAAACAGTTGAGGCGCGTGTCAGCTGATGCGGGCAACGCAACCTCGCTGCGCGCTTCCTCCCAGTCTTGCGCTCACCGCCTGGCGCGGTCTACCTCCTGCGCGCAAAGTGATGCAAAGTGCCGCGGGCCCCGCGCTTGACTTGCCCAGCGCGCTGTCGCTCGCTGGGCCCCCGCCCGGCGGGGGGGCGCGAGCTGTTGGCCCGCGCCGCTCGCGATCTGCGCTCTCAGCGGAGTCGGCGCCTGACGATCCAAGGGGTCGAGCCCCGCAGAGACCAAGTCCCGACGGGCCGCGCCGTCACTTGCTGGGCCGCCAAGTCCGCGCAGAGCCGAGCATGATATGCTCGCCCCGTTGACGCCCTTGGCTTGCAGCCGAAGGATAAGATTGCGATCTGAGCCAGAGTTTTCACTGCGCATGCGTTCAGTCTCACTGGGTATAACATGGAGTTGTTTGTCACGTGCGTCCGCTGTCTGGGCTGTCATGGAATTTGCTGGCTGCCCCGGCAATTTCTTTTTCGATCTACGCGTTCATCTACAGATTGTTATGCGCGTTCTTCTCGGTGCCCTGCCACCTTTCCGCTCTTTTTGCCGGCGCGCAGCGCGTCGCGTTCTGCGGGGTCTTCTTTTCCATTCTCGCTGCCCACTGTTCTGAGAGCGCGGCCTCTCTGCCGCGCCCCGGGCCAGCGGGCGGGCGCGCGGGGGGGGGCCGCGCGCCGAGACGCGGCGCCCCGCCGCGACAGGGTTGGCGCGCGCTTGCGCGCGGCTCCGTCTGGCCAGGGCGCGCGCGCGCCGGCGCATCCGCGCCCGCGACTGCGAGTTGCGAACGACGCGAATGCCCTCCCAAGGAGTCACTGCTCACTCTGTCTCCGCCTCCGCCGCGCCGCGCACCGCGGGCCCCGGCTGCCGCTGGGCATGGCGGGGGGCGAGGAGGGCGCGGTAAGTCTTACGCCGCAGGAAACGCGACGAATTCGACGGCGAGATGGGCGACGCAAGGCGCGGGGCTAGGAGAGCAGTCAGGAGGGGAGGGCGAAAGGAGGAGGGCGTGGGAAGACAGCCGCAACGCGATGGAAGAGGGAGGCAGTGCCACCACGCGGCCCCCAGACTCGCTCAATTCTGCCTCTGCTCAGCCCCCCGCTCTTCGCGCTCCTCCACCGTTTCCTCCACCCCGATGCCTTCCGCGGAAAAGGCTGCCAGCCGGGCGCTACTTCGCCGCTGCCGGCGCCCTCTGGCAGCCGCGACTTCCACTTGTAGTCGCCCAGCCAGACCGGCGTTGCAAGACGCCGCGGCCCGCGACCTCCAGTCAGGCGCAGCACGCTTGCCGCTGTCAACATCTACCATCCGCAGTTGTCAGTGCGACCCCCGCGAGGCTCAACGCGGCCGCCGACGCGCGCGGCGGCTAAGGGCGCTTCCCGGCCAACGGCCGCCAGAGCGCGCGTCTGCGGCCCGCGGGCCCGGATGCAGGCCGAGCCGATCGCCGGGCAGAGCCCGCGCTGCCTCTCCGCTGGCAGGCCCGCGTCTACTGCGACAGCATGTTCGGGATCGAACGCCAGCAGAAACAGCGGCAGCGAGTTGCGCCCGCTACCGCCTCACTCGCCACGCTGCGACCGCAGCTCGGGCAGGGGCGCGTCGGCCCTGCCAGCGCGCCCCCCGCGCCCGCGTGCATCGGCGAGGCGGGCGCCGATGCGCCCATCATCATCAGCGCCGTCGGCGCGTCGCAGCCAGAAGGGCAGCCCAGCCAGGCCGCCTGGGCACGCGTGTCCGGCAAGCCGCGCCGGCGCGCAGCAGCCGCGCTTCGCCTGGATAGCGCGCAGCAGCGCAGCCGATGGCGCGACGCATCGCGCGCTGCGCGACCCACGACGGTCGGCGTCCTTTGCGATGCCGCAGCTGGCGCGCCGAGCGTGCAGCGCGCGCGCTGCCGTTGTGAGACCTACTCAACCTTGCGGTTGCAGGATGATCGGGGTGCGTCTGTTATGCGTGCGCGCGCGTAGACTGACGCGACGCCCTGTTCTCGTTGGGGGCGCGACCGCAACATTTTCTCTCCCCCCTTCCCCCCATCGCGCAGGCGACGGGCGGGCGGCGGCCCCGCGAGTTCAGCGCCGAGATTACCGCGCGCATCGTCACTGCGAAGATAAACGCGCTTCCACCTCTAACTGGCACCCGGAAAGACGGGGACTTCCCTGACTTCGGATCAGCCTTACTTTGGTTGACTTTCCGATTTGGAATTGCGTCGGAAATGCGCCCCCGAACAATGCGAAACAGCATGGTGGAAATGTCCGCCCCAGGAACAGATAGCGCAGATCTTTCGGCGCGGCAGAAGCAGCGACGGCAAAGTAGGG